AGTTCGAAAGCAGTTCGAAAAAGTTCAGTTTTGTAAACGGATGGAGGAGGAGACAAGAAAGCTTCCCCAGACACAGGCAATGAAGGCAGCGTCCATCTCAGGCACTAGAACTGCTAGCTCAGCACGCGCAGACGCCATGTACACAGCAAAGTGATACCTAACACGACGCACACATCTAGCGACAGCGAACTTCACAGCCAACGGTGGCACCGCCAAAGCCACATTTTGCTCGCTAAGGAATGCAAAGAAAGGAAGCAGGGATAGTGGGATGCCCAACTTATTCCAGTGTGATAAGCGTTTTTTTATAACATTTTCCATTATGGCCAGATCGCTCCAAATAATTAAATTAAAATACCCAACATTTATTACGATTGCAAAGTATTATATATTGGACATTTAATATATGGCGAAACTACTTAATTCCTTTTTTATGATTTTATGGTATATTAAAATAACTGACTTTTGATTTTCAATACTTAATGAGGTGGTTTTAATCATTTGTAATGGAAAATTAATTCTATTATGCATCAAATTACAAAAAGTTTAATGATATATATATAAATTTCGCATTTTCTTTGATTTTCGTTGTTTTAAATTCTTATTAGCGATCTTAGACGGCGGCAATAAATTCCTCCGTTTACATATATTTTTGGTATAATTTCAATCTGGCCGTTCCAGTCATTCGAATTGTAAAATGTCAAAACCTACCCAACCCAGTCAACTGTCAAAGTTCGGTAGGTGAGCGGCTCCCACGTTTCCAGTGACAGGAGAGTTGGGGATCTCTTTATCTCTGACAGTAGAGTTGACAGTAGAGAGATGAGATAGAGTGGTGATGGCACTAATATGTAAAATATAAAATTATTCAAAGCTCTAACCTGACATTACTTTACAATCAATTTATATCATTTGTAATAAAAAATTGGTTTACTTTTAGCCTTTTCGTGTTTGAGTTGCTTAAAAAATATAAAAAAAACCAAATTGATTAATATCGGTGATGATCTCTATGCAGCATATCCAAAATGGCTAACAAGAGTTCTTTTTGGTTTTGTGACGTGCTAACTACCAGGTCTCAAATTTGAGGCCATATTTTGAGACTAACCGTGCGATTCTATACTGTGATACAGTATCAAGATTCTAAATTTGACAGAGACAATTTTTGAGACTTGAGACGATTTTGCTATTCTGTAAGTGATAGTCACAAACTCTATTCTTCTTCTTCTTGATTGGCGTAGACACCGCTTACGCGATTATAGCCGAGTTAATAACAGCGCGCCAGTCGTTTCTTCTTTTCACTACGTGGCGCCAATTAGATATTCCAAGTGAAGCCAGGTCCTTCTCCACTTGGTCCTTCCAACGGAGTGGAGGTTTTCCTCTTCCTCTGCTTCCCCCGGCGGGT